GAAGAAATTTGGGGATTTGTGCTCAGGCAAAATGTCTGAAGGATTACTAGACAGAGACTGATTCTAAGTTACCTATTTCATCTTGTGATTTTATGCAGATGTTAGGAAAATTTTCATGTAGCCCCAATTAAGAAAATAAAAGCATAATGTGTATGTATTTTTTTCTTATTTACAATTTTTTTTATTTTTTGGCAACAAAAAGGTGACGTAATCCGAAATTTTCTTAATGTCTTTCATTTGAAATGGAAGGCTAAAGATATACTAAATATTATCACCCAGTTGTGGGTAGTGCTTTGTGACAGTGGCCCCCTTCCTTTTGATTTCTCATTGTTGAATGCTGGAATGAATAATGCAACAGACATCCCTCCGTGTTCTCATTGTTCCAAAGTTACCTTTGACTTACAACAACCCTGTGAATGACGGATCTCCAAAATGTCCCATTCTCAACAAGCCTCCTCAGCTCTTATAAACTCAAGCCTGTGACTTCCTTTAATGGAGTCAATCCGTTTCATAATTCATTTTTCTCTTTTCCTGCTGCCTTCCACCTTTCCCAACATTACTGTCTTTTCCATAGAATCTTGCCTTCTCACAATGTGCCCAAAGGGGAACAGCCTCAGTTGCTACATTTTTGCCTCCAGAGAGAGAGAGAGTTCAGACTTGATTCATTCATCTTCCTGGCAGTTTATTGCATTTAATCTCCGTGAAAGTTGTTGCCCCTTCTAGAGCACATCTGTGTTTTCACCTGTAGGTGTCGTTGTGTACAGTCTTGCATAATGATTTGGTTAGAGAAGAGTGAGCAGAACGTACAAAATTAAATAGCTACACTTTCCAGACAACAACAAAAACTCTTGCAAACATGCAGTATCAAAGCAAGCTGGCAGTGTGAGCCTCGTATTGAGATACTGCAGCACAGGCTTTGTTCGGTCTTGTCTCCAGTAGTGTTTGAAAGATAGCTTGGTGCTGCAGATGCTGCCCCCCTTTTGCAAAAATGTCTCACTGCTAATTTCTGCTGAGCCAGAACTGTTTTCTGGGCCATCAGTAATCTGCAGTTACATGTCTCCAAAATATATTGAATGTTTTTGTGTTTTTGAATGTTGTATCTTCTGTGATACTTCTTAGCCACCCTAAGCATTATTCCTTTTTCTTTTCTTTTAGTGGAGAGGCAGTAAGTCAGAAGTAATTAAAAAAGCGATAGATATACATATTGAATAGATACATATTTTAAAATACATGTGTGTTTTTTTTTCCCTCCACTGACTCTGTTTCTGCCAGGATGGCACTCTGTATTAATACAATGTGGATTTATTGGGATCCAGATAAATTGTAGGGCCTTGTTCCTTAACTCATGTTCAAGCACAGGAAAAATCAGGAAATTGTCTTTCTTTAACAGTGTCCAAGCAGCTAGCAGTAAATGGCAATAAACTCAAGTTCAGGAAAGGATTGTCTTATAGCTCAGTTCTTCATTAGATGGACAACCAGTTTTTCTGTCTACTTTCTTATTTTGAGCGAATCCAGTGGACTCGAGGGAGAGATGTATGGGCAGGATTTGTGCATTACTAGGAAGTGCAAACAAGAATGCAGAAAAAAGAAACATCTAAAAGCTCAAGATACTTTAAGTAATAAAGCTGCCACAAGTGTAACAAATCATTGCAAGAAAAGCAAGTGTCCATCTGAGCGCTTTGCTGAGCCTTGCATTTCATAGTGTAACATTTCCAGAAAGCCTCCTATAAGGTAGCCATGTCGTATTGATTTACGTACAGGCAGGCCAGCCAGCTGGGCTAACTAATTCTCTTGCAGATAAGAGGATCAAGCCAAATGAAATGTTTTAATCTCATAACAACTTGGTTTAATGAATACTGTAGTCAGGGTGAACTTCAGTAAAATGTCACATGGGTCGCCTTTATCTGCAAAGCTGAGTCAGCGGGAGAGAGGATGGTGGGGGTTGGGGAGACAGGACTTGGCAGGTTTAAAATATAATCCTGTTGCACAGTTCAGAGACCCGGTATGTCAAAGCACCTTGCATCTCAAGCACATCTGCTTCCCAGGATGATAAACCTTTGAACAGGGAGCAGTTTGGGCAAATTGAGCTGAGCTGTGACGAGCTCGGAGCAGACCATTTAGCAGGAATCATGATCATTTTCCCTAGGATCATATTACTTATTTGTGGGGAAATTATGTGATTGTTTGGACGTACACTGCGGCAGGTGATAAATTGGGCCTGTATGTGTATGTGTATGTGTATACTTTCTGCTGTAACTACCATATTGATTGATAAAATGCCGAATGATATTCTTCTTCGTGGTCTCTGTGAATGCACAGTAATGGGTTTAATCTGCACTTGCGGAGAGGTCTCCAGAATATTCTAGAGCTTTATGATACGTTCATCAAGGTCCGCCCCCCCCAATACACGTGGTCCATCCGTCCTGGCAATTACCTCATTGCTTTTTTCCTATGCTGAGGTCTCTCCTCTTGTTGAGCTCCATTCATCATTGCTTCTTTAATCTGAGGAAAATTGGAAGAGACTTTGCGAGTGATTCTTCCCAGCTTCTATACAACCAAAGGAAAATTGTAAGAGACTTTTCGAGCAATTTTTCCCTATCACCCCCCACACCCATTTTTCCCTCCCTGCCATTTATGGTCCCTCTTTCCCCGTTTAAAAGGTGCACCTCATGCTCCAACAAAGTTCCCCTCACAGACAGTTATGATCTGTCTTTTTTGCCTGGGGGAATCTCACCAGCCTTTTGTTTGTCAGTTTTGCAAGAGCTTCACTAAACAAGGAGGTACCCGTTCCCTTCCACTGCTGAATCACACTGTCCAATTCTGGAATGGTGCCAATAACATGGCATTTTTCCTGTAGCAGTACATATTGCTATTCAAGACAATCTTGTAGCGGATATTCTCAGCAGACTACATACCCAGATGCACAAATGGACTCTAGACCAGTCCATATTTCATCACCTTTGAAAGATCTGGGGTCAATCACGCATATACATGTTCGCCACGTCTCAAAACTCCAAATCCTCCTCCTTCTATTTGAAGTCAGGCATGGGACACGGATCCCTTGGAGATGCACTGATGGTAGACTGGACCACACATCTCATATCTCTCTTCCCCCCCATCCCATTCCTCTCCTCTGAGCAATTAGCCAAGATCCATCATGATTGCTCCAACACGATCCTCATTGCGCCTTGGTGGCCAAGGCAGCCATGGTTCACCAAGCTCCGCTCCATCGCTACAGATTACCTCCAACTGCCTCTCATTCCTCGCCTCCTCTCGCAACATCAAGGCAGGACTCACCACCCCAATCTTCACATTCTCCATCTCACAGCATGGAGGATTCATCCTCAGTAGATGCCATCTTAGCTAATGCCGGAAAGCCTGTCACTGTTAAGCTCTATTCATATAAATGGACTGTCTTCACAAGGTTTGCTCTTCAACATCATCTTCCAACCAATCCTATGACCTTGCAAGCTGTCCTTCTGTTTCTGTCCCATCTCTTTCGCAAGCAACTCTGCCCTTCTACTCTCAAGGTTTACCTGTCTGCTATAATAGCTCATCATCCTCAAGTTTCTGATGCTGCTATGCTTTTTCGTCATCCCACATTAAAACTCTCCCTTCGGGGTGTCTCCAATATGCGTCCTTCTGCACCTGCACCATCCCCACAATTGTCTCTACCTGTTGTTCTTCACTGGCTTACCCGTGCTCCATTTGAGCCACTTGTTACCATCTCAGAGCACCTCTTTTCCCTTAAGACACTCTTCCTGGTTCCCATTACTTCTGCTCGTAGAGCCTCGGAGCTTGCTGCCCTCCGGGTTGATCCTCCATTTCTTCAATTCCACCTGGACAAGGTCACCCTTTTCCCTGATGTCTCCTTTCTACCAAAGGTTGTGTTGAATTTCCACCTCTCCCGACCTATTGTTTTAACTACCTTTTTTCCATCACCTACAACTGACCTAGAGCGGTCTTTACACACATTGTACATTAGACGTGCACTTGCTTTCTATGTCTCATGGACTTCGTTCCATAAATCAAAATGACTTTTTGTAATACCACACCTCCCTCACAGAGGTTCTCATATTTCATCTCAAACTGTATCCCGTTGGCTCATTGCAACTATAAAAGTGGCATACCAACTCGCCAAACAGCTTCTACTTGTTGGTATTAAGGCTCTGGCTACCTCTGTGGCCTTGCTTTGTGAAGTACCACTCCCAGACATTTGTAAGGCTGCTACATGGACAACGCAATCTACATTTGCCACCCATTATCACCTGGATCTAAGAGCCAAAAAGGATGCAGCGTTTGGGAGAGCTGTACTTTCTTCTGTTGTTCTGTGACGTCCCTCCTCCGGTAAGTTAGATTGTTAATCACCCATTAATGTGCGTTCACAGAGACCACTCGAAGAAACAGAGGTTACTTACCTGTAACTCTGGTTCTTCGAGTGGTCATCTGCGATTTCACACTTCCCGCCCGTCTTCCCCTCTTTCCGTCACTCCTGTATCACCTTGATGCAGCGGCGGGCTCTTCTTAGGTAATTGCCAGGACGGGCAGACCATGTGTACTAAGGGGGAGATCCTTGATGAACATATCATAAAGCTCTAGTATATTCTGGAGACCTCTGTGCAAGCACAGATTAAACCCATTAGTGTGAATTCACAGATGACCACTCGACGAACCAGAATTACAGTTAAGTAACCTCTCTCTTTGCATCACTGAATCACTGTCACAGAGCTAACACCACAGAGTTGACATTTTTCTGTGGAATGAATTCATAACATTTATCTTATCAGCAGTGCAGAAATGAATTGATATGCATTTATGTGTGAAACTGCTCCCAAAGTACAAGATCTGTGTGTATTATTTTTGGGGAAATGGATTTTGTACCTATAGATGAAACCTTTTATCCATGGAACAAACCATACAGAATTCAGAAGAAATACTGATGTTCTCTTGTGCAAGGGATGTTTAACTGTATAAGTAATGTTTACCTTCTTTTCATGCAGTGCCCATGTGTCACAAGTCAGCAACAACAATATCCCTGCTTCTGGAGAGTAAGTGACTATGTTATATTTAGTTTTTCCTTGTTCTTTATTTTTGAAATCTTGTTCTGTTGACAAGCTTGTTCGTATAATATCCTTGATCAATTTATAGCTGAAAATGAGGCTATAATCATGTAGACGTACAGTTTGAGTGATTTAGATTGTAACATTTTCATTTGCACCTTCCTGTCTGTTTCAAAGGTAGCTGTGCTGGGAGCCAGGCTCTGTTGGTAATACAGTGATGGGCAGAAGGTAGACTAAAGCCTGCTGATGGATAAGAACATAAATCTTCAATTTTGTTCTTGCAGATGATAATAAAAAATGACAAATGTTTTCTCCTGGTTGGTGACTTACGCGAGTTTTTGTGCAGACGCATACTTTGCCCCAGAACTTTGTACTTGCACAAAATACATTTTATGCAAATACAGTTTTTTCATTGAGAAACAGTGATCTAAGGATTTCTTAAAGGTGAAAAAGCTGTGATTTCCACCTGTTCAGTGATCTCTAGTTCTGTGGAAGGAGGGGAGGTATAAATCTCCTCAGCTTTGCCTACTGATGTGGGAGAGAGTTTTTCTGTCTGTGGCCCCTGCCTTAATACCATGTGTAGTTTTGAGGGTAGAATGATTGCCTAGCTGTACTTAAGCTTCTGCCCTGGGTACTTGTGCAGTACTCTTTTTTTTTTCACCCACATATTGGTAAAGATTAAAGTTCAAATGTAAAATTGACCTCTTTCTTCTTTTTTAAAAATGGTGTTCATATTTATTTTTGCTTGTCAGGTTCTTAGAAAAGACCATTCGGTCAGCTGTCGAGCAACATCTTTTTGATGTTCATGGCTCCGGGGGTCAAAGTTCTGAAGAATCTGAATCGGGGACATCGTCAACATCATCCAACGTGTCTGCCCGGCAGCGGAGGCGGCACCATAAAGAGCAGGATGAAGCCCGAAGAAACAGAGATATGTATGTTGGTGGTTTTTCCCTTTTTAAAATGTGGCATAATAAGTCCCATATAATTTTGCATAGTGTTGTTCTGTTGTTTTGAGCTGATGTGAAAAGTTATGGGTTTCAGAGGAAATCACTTGATTGTTTACTTCATAAAAAGCACTACCTTGTCATGATCACTGTTGTCAACATTGGTTTTAGTCATGGTTCCCTAAGGCAGGGCATCGGAAAACATTGGAAATAAAACAGTGATAGAAACGAACAGTTACTTCAAAACATCTAGAATCCTGTTCTGGGTTAGCTTTGAAGTTGTATCTTTATTGACCAGAAGATTGTGCCTATGTGTTCAAGAGAAATATAATAGGTAACTAGTCTTAAGATGTTTCAGTGTTCCTTATTTTCTTCTTCAAAATACTTTCAAGATTTCTAAAGAATCTGTTTTAAAATTATAATGATAATCAAGACAGAAGTGAACAGGGGGATTCGACAGAGTCCTCAAAACCAAATGAAGTAACATGAGAACAGCGCCATCACCATATGGATCTTTTTCTGCAACCGCTGTAATTTTAATATGCAGTGTGAGGATGGCAATGGTTGAGCCTTGCCAGCTTCCTTTAGGAGAGCTTTCCATGGCTGAAATATCAATGTCAGTTTTACCATGTTGGATGGAGATGTTGGTAGTCATTATCTAACACATCTGGAGGGAATCTGGTTGAAGAAGGTTGGTTTATGGATTTTTGCTTAATAATTGGACACATGCAATGTAAATCCACAAAGAATAATAGCCCTTCAGTTATTCATAGATGACGGGATCATTGTATCCATTTCTTTCCACCTCCATCCAGAAAGTCTCTGAAGCAAATCTGGACACCTTCCTCGCAATGGGAGGTGCTGGAGCTCAGTAAGAGAGGACATTCTGCATGCACAAGGTCCCAGCTGTGCTCTTTCCAATTGACCTTTGCCTGGAGGACTGGAGGACTGACGCCAGTCAGTGTGCACAATGCTTGGCTAGATCAGCTTTGGGAACTTTTTCCCCCAGCCCAGGACACATATGCCATTCTGCTATACTGGCACAAGGCAGAGCTGGATCAACATGCATGGAGGCAGATGTAATTCTTAGCTATATGGATATTATCCCACCGACAGTGTAATTCACCGCTCAGTGATATGCATATCTACTCACACATTTTGACAAGGATTCAAATGTGAGCTCAGGTTCCCAGTCTTCTATGGGATGACACATGGATGGGCAGTGTCTGAAGGTCTGGGGGCTGTTTCCCAGCCCCAACCAAGGTCTATACCTATTGCTTGGGGATGCAGGGAATCTTAGGCTCCTTCCTGTTCCACCACTGCAGCTGCAATGCAAAAATGACCATCCCTGGAGGCTTCCAGAAGTCAAAACAGGGCTGTCTTTTTTATTTTTGCACAATTATAAGGATTTTTTTTTTTAATGGAGGGCTTTCAGCTGGCATCAGGGCCACTAGATTCCCTTGGCAGGCTGCCTACCACCCATGGCTGGATTAGGTAAACCAGCGGTCTGACTCTTCTGTGCTGCTAAGGAACAGAAAATGATGCTACTGTCATGTTGCTGCAACAGTCGACAGTTGATGAACTACTTAATTAGTTTCCTGTTAATTAAAGGGAAATGAAATTCCAGTATCCTCAATTAAGAGTCAGTAAAACATTTCCTTTTACAGTGGAAAGGGGGGGGATTTTTCCACCCGAGAAGAGTCAAATTCACACTCCTTGCATTGTGCTAGAAGGCTTCCGAGGCAACTAGGTCAGAGATAGGCTAGCGTACGTGTTCAGCAGCATACAGTACTGCAGTTGGATGTGTTTCCCCTCCTTTGCGCAGTCTCCCCACTGAATTGCAGATCTGCCTTTTTCTAATGTGTCTTTGTTTCAGCTTCTCATTGTATTTAGTCCAGCTGTTTGTCCATCCAGCCCCCTATTATCTACTCTGACCGGTGGCAACTCTTCAGGGCCTTAGAACAGATCTTTTGCATCACTTGCCAACTCACTATGAAAATTAAGAGGCTGAAGACTTGCTACATTAAAAAAAGAAAGGCTGTACCTCTAATTATGACGTGATGTCAAGACCTGTCTTTCCCCACAGATATTCAGCATACCAGTTGATGTAGAGTTGGCAGAAGCCTTAGCTAGTGTATTTCTAATTAACCTAAAAAGCCATTGCGAAATTTTGAGAAGCCAGCATTTCAGCAAATTTTATTCTTTGGTCCTTACATTTCCTTGGAAATTTGATTGCGGATCTTACACAGAACTTACAAAGTAGCAACAGTGAAGCATTCAGATGACATTAAACAGCATGAAGCATTTCTCTTGGATGCTTTAGTTCTGCATGATTAAATCATCACATGGAAACAATTTATGAAATATCTTGATGCAAAATATCTATTTGACATCATATGATGGATTTCTGATAAATGACATTCTTTGTCTTTAGCAGTGACATATGCACAGACCTGTTGCTCTTCTACATTTCTGCAGTTAGCACATTGTGTTGTTTGGGATTATGTTATATACAGTGGTCCCCCACATAGCGACGTTAATGCGTTCCGGATTAATCGTCACTATCTGGAAATATCGCTACACAGAGGGAAAAACCCCATAGGAACGCATTAAACTTCATTTAATGCGTTCCTATGGGGGGAAAACGTACAGCTAAGTGGGAATCCTCCATCCGGGCGCCATTTTCGCCACCTCGGTAAGCGAGGGCAGCGCGCGAAAATGGTTGTGGCGGCCATTTTGGAACCGACGATCAGCTGTGTGAAAATGGGGCCTTTGGGAGGATCAAAGCCCCCATTTTCACACAGCCAGCCGAAGTGCTTCGGAATGGCAGGGGGGAGCCTTCCCCCGCGGCCGCTCCAAAGCGCCCGCGGCGAAAATGCCACAAAAAAACCCACACAAACCACAAACATAACCCCCCAGTCCAAACTTACCCTCCATAACCCACACAGAAAAGTTTTTTTAAAAGGACTTACCAGTCCAAAGCCTCCCGGCGCTCTGCTGGCTCCGCGCGGCCAGGGGCGAGCGGCCAGGGGCCTGGCC